GGGAGAGAGAGAAGGGGGGGAAGAGAGAGAGACTGGGGAGCGGGGGGGAGAGAGAGAACAGGGGAGAGAGAGAGAGAAAGAGAGAGAATGGGGAGCAGGGGGGAAGAGAGAGAACCGGGGGGAAAGAGAGAGACTGGGGGGGCCGGCGAGCCGGGGGTGGTAGTTGAGGGGGGTGGAGGAGACGGGGGAACCGACAGGATGGGGGGGAAGCTTACCTGCTTCTTCCTCCTCCGCTTGCTCTGTGTGGAGCTCCCCTGCTCCTCCCCCCGCGATTTTCGCGGGTCCCCTTTGTTGTCACATCTAACATTTAAAAGGAAAAGAATCAAGAGAATTGATTGAATCAAACAGAAAATACCAACAAAAAAGATATTTTTTTTAAAAACCAGGCTGCGTGCTTTAGTAGCCTGACCATGTAGTTCACTGCAATCAATTCACTGAGGATTGAACAGTTAAAGAGGATTAAAGAGTTAACATTAAAGAACTTACGTGCATTCATCTACAAAGCTGCAGGTTTTAGGTATCTACAAAGTTTTGCTGGATTTATGTGTCTGGTCTGCTGAACATGAATACTATACACTCAGAATCGAGGGTTGCCAGGTCCCCCCTGGCCAGCAGCTGGGGTGGGGGGCGTGGGGGTTAGGGTTGCCAGATCCAAACTGGGGAACTCCTGGAGATTTTGGGGTGGAAGTAAGACACAGGGAGGGGAAAACAAACTTGACCCAAAAAACGGAATCAAAGAAAGAAGTCGGAAATGCGTCAGGTCATGTGTATTGGCCCTTTTGTTTAGGCCACTTGAACTTTTTAATGAGGCTTTCATTGGGCCCTTATATGTTTTTAACTGTCTTTCTAATAAATACATGCATTTTTGTATATTATAAGTTTCAACTAGGTTTTTAATTCTGGCCCTTTATCAGACTTCTTTCTTTGATTCCAGATTTTGGGAATGGAGCCTGTGGAGGACAGGAGCCTCAGTGTGGTGAAATGCCATTGAGTTCACCCCCTGAAGCATCCACTTTCTCCAGAGGGACTGATCTCTGTAGTCTGGAAAGGACCTGTAATTCTGGGGGAATCCCCAGGTCCCACCTGGAGGCTGGCATCCCTATTAGAATCTTAATATTCTGAGCTGGCTCAGTAACAGCGGAGATTGCAAATGGCACAACTTTGTATACTGAACCACCTAGTGGATTTATGAATGTTGGTGACATCCATCATCTGTCCAGCTCTACAGCACTCTTAAGTAGGCTGACACTTTCCCTGTTTTTTTCGGGCTTCTGGAAAGTGACAGTGTTGTACTAAACAGTTGCTGTTGTTAGCCATTCAGTTGTGTTTGACTAAACAGTTCTGCCCTTCAAAACCCATTGAATTTAAATGGACTGAGAAGGGTCTAACTCTGGTTGGGATTGCACTGTAAGAAGCTTATGGTTTCGGGTTTTAGTTCTCCTTTTGCTTTGTGCTATGTAGTTGTTTGTGTCAGTATTTTATGCTTTATGTGACTGACCCTTTGCTCTCCTGCAGTTTACTGTAACTAGATAGCTACTCACCAAAGCAGTAAAGGGAATCAGATGGCTTCGGAACTATATGCCTGACATCTCTGACCTAAGATAACTCTGATGAATTAGGAGATACTTGAATTAGATGCTCTTTCAGCCTGGCTCTAGAGAAGGCATCTGGTGAAGATCATCAGCATGAGTCACTGCAGAGGAAATCCAGAACACCAGATACAAGCATTGACCAAGTGGCCCAGATGCATGAGTAAATCCTGATAATCACAAAATTGGGAAATTTATTTGAGATTGCCTACCAGGAAAATAACATCCATGCTTATTGGACTGGTTCTTGTTAGAGTTGAACCAAATGTTGATCACCCTTCTCATCGTAGAGCTTTTACATTGGCCCGACTAAATATTTTCCCCTCAAAAATATTAACTGCTCAGTATAACAAAGTCCCTTTCCATGAAAGGAAATGTATCTGTCCTCTAAAATCGATAGATTCAATCCATCACATTATCTTGGATTGTCAATCGCACACAGGTTCATGTAAGAAACTCCTTTCCTCTCCACTATACCCCAAATTTTGGCCACCAAATGAGAAGGGAGCACTTACTGGAGAAGACCCTGATGCTGGGAAAGATTGAAGGTCAAAGAAGACGGGGACGGCAAAGGATGAGATGGTTAGACAGTGTCATAGATGCAATGAACATGAAATTGAGCCAACTTCAGAGGATGGCGGAAGACCGGAAGGCCTGGCGTGATCTGGTCCATGGGGTCGTGAAGAGTCGGACTCGACTGTGCTACTGAACAACAACATACCCCAAACACTGTGTTAACAATGACAGAATAATCCAATGTCTATTAAATTACACAAACCTGGACATCACAGCTCTGGTTGCCTCCTTGCTCATATGTTATGACACCATGTATTTTACTGATATGCCATTAAAGGTATTTGATTTGATTTGATGTGTTTCAGGTTTTTTTTAAATTGAAATTGCATATGTGATGAGGAGACCCAATTTTGTTAAGACATGTAAATGCACAAATATTGGAAGTGTGTCTCTAGTTTTCCTCCAAGTCATGGTCCCCCCAAGTATAGCCTGACCAGAGTGCCCGGGACAAGTGAACGAGACTAAGAAGCATGATTTGATTTGATGCGTTTCAAGGTTTTTTAAAATTGAAATTGCATATGTGATGAGGAGATCCAATTTTGTTAAGACATGTAATTGCACAAATATTGGAAGTGTTTCTCTAGTTTTCCTCCAAGTCATGGTCCCCCCAAGTATAGCCTGACCAGAGTGCCCGGGACAAGTGAACGAGACTAAGAAGCAAATGCTAGCACTTTAATAAGCGGGATAGTTGTGGTTTTAAACTTTTGTATGATTGGATTTTATATGGTATATTGAATTATTATATTGCATTGTTTTATATTGTGCTGTAAGCCGCCCTGAGCCGGCCCTGCTGGGAGGGCGGGGGTAAAAATCTAAATAAATAAATAAAGTCCTTGAATGCTCAGCAAGGGTTGTGCAGAAGACCCCAAGTGTTGGTTTGCAAAGTTTCAGGAGACCATGCTCTTCTGAACATAGACCACTAGACAGAGCTCAAAATGCCTCTGTCACATGTATGCATGATACCTGTGCAGATTGTCTGACCAACTGAAGTGAAGACAGCTTTTACTGGTAAGCCCTCCAGCAACCCATTTGACCAGTAAGAGCCCTTCAGAGCTTCACTTCCCGCTCTCTCCAGTCGTAAGCACCTACAGAGAGTATATAAAGGGACGGTTTCTTGGAGGACTTGGACCAACCGCTCCCCTTTATGACCTCCCCTTTGGTTGTTTTGGTAGTTTCCCCTGTAAAATGTGCAATATGATTTCCTCTTCATAACTTCTGAAGATGTGAACTCTGACTAACAAAAACTCATGCTCGAATAAATATTAGTTGTTACGGTGCCCTCAGACTTCTGTTTTGTTTTACCACAGAAAAGACCTTCCTGCAGATAATTGCCAGGCTACCACCATAAAAAAGAGTACCAGGAGCAGGGTCTCACTAATAATTCTTTGGGGGGGGGTAGATGAGAACAAGCCGATTATCTCCCTGAGATAGTTGGCATTTTTCCATAATTTATTGGTAGCATACCTGTGACCCACACACAGTAGGGTATGTGGAAGTGCAAATAAGATTATGATTTTTTGACTCTTGTGGCCTCACGGTGCAGACTGGAAATGAAAAGGCATGGATGAATGGAATCCAGGAGGGTGTTTGTGTGTAAAAGAAGCTGCACATATGATGTTGGCAGTAGTTTAGGATAAGCGATTGTATTTCTAGTATTGGACAAGGGGTGGGGTGGGAGATTATGAAGGCTTACTAGCTCCACTAGTTAGAGATAATACTTTTTGAAAGGGTCATGGTTCCCCTGAAGAATGGGCAATGCTGTTAGCTGCAGTGCCAAGAATGTATGCGTGCAGGTCAAGGCAGCATAAATGGGATTTCCCTCCCCTCCCATTTTCACATCAGCCATTCCCTTTCCTAAACTGTAAACTCCTTTCCACCCCTCCTAGTTCAGAAAATAACGTAGGGGTTCATTGACAAAAGCTGCAAAAGCAAAAGTTGAAAACCATATTAGAGAATCTGAAGCTGTTCCGGGCAGGATAATCAATGTAAAGTATCCCAGTATATGTAAGACCTTGCAGTATTTATTACTTTCTGGTTCCGGTCCCAGGCCTGAATAAGATTATAACCAACAACAGTTAATTTTATTTTGTTAGCCTATAAAATAAATTGCAAGAAGTTGGCTGACTGGAAATATCATTTAGTGTTGCTTAAGGCTCCGACTGTGTTCATCCACATTATGTTAAAATGCTCATTTTAAAAAAACACATCAAAGCATTACCAGTCTTTCTCTTTATGTGCAGTAGAGGCGCTGAGAACAGACATGGCCTTCGACAACAGACAATAGTTCGGGAGAAAGGCAGGAGGCTCGCCAATCGAGGCCCAGCGTACATGTTTAATGACCATTCAACCAGCCTTTCTATCGAAGAGGAGCGTTTTTTGGAAGCTGCAGAATATGGAAATATCCCCGTCATCCGTAAAATGCTGGAAGAATGTGTTTCGCTGAATGTGAACTGTGTGGACTACATGGGGCAAAACGCACTGCAGCTGGCGGTAGCGAATGAACACCTGGAGATCACCGAACTTCTGCTTAAGAAGGAGAACCTGTCACGGGTTGGGGATGCCCTGCTTTTGGCCATTAGCAAAGGGTACGTCCGGATAGTGGAAGCCATCTTAAGTCACCCTGCGTTCGCTGAAGGCAAGCGGCTGGCCACCAGCCCCAGCCAGTCAGAGCTGCAGCACGACGACTTCTACGCCTACGACGAGGATGGGACGCGCTTCTCTCATGATGTCACCCCCATCATCCTGGCCTCCCACTGCCACGAGTACGAAATCGTGCACACCCTGCTGAGGAAAGGGGCGCGTATCGAAAGGCCTCACGACTACTTCTGCAAATGCAGTGAGTGCAATAAGAAGCAGAAGCACGACTCTTTCAGCCACTCCAGGTCCAGGATCAATGCTTACAAAGGCTTGGCTAGCCCGGCTTACCTGTCCTTGTCCAGCGAAGATCCGGTCATGACTGCCTTAGAACTCAGCAACGAGCTAGCTGTGCTTGCTAACATTGAGAAAGAGTTCAAGGTAAGATGGTACTTGGCCGGTGGAGGGGAGGGGCGAGTGGGTCGTTCACACATGTAGGAGAATGAAGTGGTAGAATGGACTGCAGTGTGTCAGGCTGCAGATGGTGGAGTGCCGCCTTTAATATTCCTTCACGTGAATGGGGAGCCACAGTGGAGTAGTGGGTAGAGAGTCAGACTAGGGTGGGGGGCAGGCTTGGACTCTCAGTCTTCTGTGGAAGCTTATTGGGGAACTTTGGGCCAGTCATTCTCACTCAGCATAATCTGTCCCATAGGGTTGTCGCGAGGATGAAATGGAAGATGGGAGATTGAATGATGTCATAAGTGCTTTGGGTCTCCACTGGGGAGAAAAGCAGAGGATAAATGTCTAAATAAATAAAACAAAATGTCTATGCAAAAATGGAAAGGGGCAGTGGCTCGGTGGTAGAGCGTCCGTTTGAAATGCAGAAGGTCCCAGGTTCAATCCCTGGCATTTCCAGTTAAGGGAATCGGTAGTAGGTGATGTGAAAAACATGAACCTAAGACTCTGCAGAGCTGCTGCCAGTCTGAGCAGACAATACTGACCTTGATGGACCAGTAGCCTGATTGAACACATGAAACTGTCCTATACTGAATCAGACCCCTGGTTCAGTATTGTCTGCTCAGACTGGCAGCAGCACTGCAGAGTCTTAGGTTCATGTTTTTCACATCACCTACTACCGATTCTCTTAACTGGAAATGCCAGGGATTGAACCTGGGACCTTCTGCATGCCAAGCAGATGCTCTGCCCCCCCCCCCCATGACTCAGTGTTCATGTGTTCAGATAGCTACTGCAGAGGGAACAGTTCTACATCCCACTCTTTGCTTGTGCCCTTTTTCTAGTTGCATGGACTTTTTGAATATAGGGGGATTATTCCAACACAAGGTCCGCCTGCAGCCTCCAGTGGTGAGATCTGTCCTGCATTTGTGAACCAGGCCTGAATGAGGATCCGTCTAGATCACCATCCATGTTTCTAGCAAGTGTTTCCTGGAAGCCCACAAGCAGAGCATGAAGGCAGCAGCTTCCCCTGGTGGTTTGCTCTCCAGCATCAGGTTTTCTTTAGGTGGCTGAAGGGCCACCTCCTCACATATTGTCCAGCCCACCAGTTAAGACTTGCCTCAAAAGTCCTGCTCTTGGGACCCCCACCTTCAGAGATGAGGGTGGGTGGCAACCAAAGACAGGGCTTTTACAGTAGTGGCCCCTTGTTCCCCTTGAGGTTCACCTGGCACCTCTGTTGCTTTCTTTTAGGCCGTAGGCCAAAACATCCCACTATTTTAGCCCAGAAACTGTTAGTTTAAACTCTTAGTGGTCTGGTTTTATGGTCTACCTTTTTATGCTGGGTTGATATTTTTAATGCTGGATTTTAAAATCTTTTAACGTTAGAACATAAGAATATAAGAAGAGCTGTGCTGGATCGGACCAGTGGTCCATGAAGTCCAGACTAACAAGGTGTCTCATAAACAGGAGTTCAGTGGTACCTTTAAATACTAACAACATTTATTCCTGCTTGCATGGAATAAATGCATGGAGTGCCCTTCCAAAGTAGTAGAAAAGAGCAAGAGTCCAGTAGCACCTTAAAGACTAACAAAATATGCGGCAAGGGATGAGTTTTCATGAGATACCACTGCTAATGGGATCTGAAAAAGTGAGCAGTGACTCATGAAAGCTCATACCCTGCCGCATATTTTTAATCTTTAAGGTGCTACTGGACTCATGCTCTTTTCTGTTGCTACAGACAGACTAACATGGCTACCCATCTTGATCTACTTCCAAAGCAGTTAGAATCCAGGCAACAGAAAATGGATGGTGCGTGGGAGGTAATAAAGGAGAGGCTAGTTTAAAACAATCAAGAGTAGTCGATCCATTTGAAGTGGTTGAGAGCCACTTGCAACTGGTGATAGATAGTCAGAGCACAGTTAACCTGCAATCTTCATTTTATTTGCTTACTTATTCTACTTCATTTATACCCTGCCTTTCTCCATAATGGAACCTGAAGCATCTTAAATCATTCTCCGTGAGAGACGTGCTATGCAGATTCAGTAAGGCAGCACAGAGACCATGTAAAGGTACAGCTGAATTAATTCATGTAACCAAAAGCAGGTGCAATCCCGTGAAGATTTGTTCCAGTATAAGGCCATTGTTTTCAATGTGCTTTGATTGGATTAACTCTGGATAGGATTGCAATGTTAGTGTGAGGTACGTTTTTGCGAGCCAGATCTTACTTCATCAGACACGTTCACCTCTCTGGACAAAGCACGATCTTTTTTTCTCACTAGACCCTCAAATGTGCCTTTGGGCTTTGTATTCGCTGCTTGTGCTAAATTGCAAATGTTGATAATAGGAACAGAGTCCTGCAAAGAAATTGGATGCATGTTCTTACCAATGAAGGCTTTCTCTTAGTGTTACAGACTGATTTGAACAAGCATCAATTATACCACCTATATTTAGATTCAGGTGGAGTAGCTCTGGTGGTCTGAAGCAGTAGAACAAAGTTTGAGTCCAGTGGCACCTTTAAGACCAACAAAGTTTTATTCAAGGTGTGAGCTAAGGAAGTGTGCATGCACATGAAAGCTCACACCTTGAACAGTACTTTGTGGGTCTTAAAGGTCGCAGGGCTCTTTTTGTAGCAGGAACTCCTTTGCATATTAGGCCACACACCCCTAATGTAGTGTGGTTTAAATTGCATGCCCTGGTAAAGAGCTGCAGTAAACAAGTCCATGGGTGTTGCTTGTTTGTTATTGGCAATACTGATGGATCTGTGGATGCCCACGTTCTGCTGAAATGCCTTGTGAAAGATGTCGTGTGATAGAGCCTTTTGTGGATCATACAACCTAGTAAGACACTTACAAACTTCCCTATACTTGGATCAGTTTTACCAAATTACTTCCCACTCCTCCTCCATGTCTTTTTGTGGCAAGATGTATGTAGGATGTATGTAGTGGCAAGATGTATGTAGTGAGGCCCTGCAAGAAAAGCATCACAGATACAGTGACAAAGCATCTGAGGTGGGGGAGAAGAGATGAGAAAGTTAAACAACTGTGTGAATTCAGTAACAAGGCAAGGTAGCCAGTGCTTTTCCTCTCATTATTGGGTAACTGGAGGTGGAAATTGCTGTGAAGTTGCAGCCAATTTACAGCAACTCCATAGGGTTTTCAAGGCAAGGGATTATCAGAGGTGGTTTTCCATTGCCTGTGTAGCAACCCTGGACTTCCATGGGGGTCTCCCATCCAAATACTCATCAGGGCGGGCCATAGAGTTGCCAGCCCCCAGGTCCAGGGAGACCAGGTGGCAGGTGGGGGAAACCCTCCCCTAAACAGGGACATTGCTATGCGACGTTCCCAACACAATGATGTCAGCTGGAAGTGACATCATCACAGTGGGGACTCTGTGGGGGATGCTCTGGTATTTAGGCAAACTCTATTGTTTCGAGGGCGAAAAAACTGTAGAGTTTCGCCCAAATACCAGAGAGTCCCTGTGCGACATCCCCAGTGCCATGACACCACTTCTGGGTGACCTCATGGCATCGGGGACGTCATGTGATGTCCCCGTCCACCCCTGGAATGCCCCCCCAATCCCGCCGCCAGAGGAATGAGGAGACTTGGCAACGCTAGCTGACCATGCTTAGCTCCCCAGGTCTGAGAAGAGCTTGGGCTATTCAGGTCTGGGGGGCACTGCATAACTGCTTTGTTCAAACTGCTTTGTTCAAAGTAAACGACTTAGGTTCATGCTAAAAGGTGTTAAATTGAAAATAATAGAAAAAAGAAGAAGAAGAAGAAGAAGAGATTGGATTTATACCCCGCCCTTCACTTGGGAGTCTCAGAGCGGCTTACAAACTCCTTTCCCTTCCCCTCCCCACAACAGACACCCTGTGAGGTGGGTGGGGCTGAGAGAATGCTTAGCTCCCCATGTTTGAGAAGAGTGGGCTAGCTCGGGCTATTCAGGTCTGGGGGGCACTGGATAACTGCTTTGTCCAAAGTAAACAACTTAGGTTCATGCCAAAAGGTGTTAAATTAAAAAAAATAGAAAAGAAAGAAAGACAAGAGGTCCAGTGGCACCTTAAAGGATTACCAACATTTGTTCTAGTATGAGCTTTTTGTGAGTTAGACCTCACTTCTTCCGATGTGTATAGGAAGGAAATCTTTTTGCAGATTTTTTGCAATGAAAAGAATAGAAAGGGGAGAGATAGAGGAGCAGCTAGAGCTGAGAGGGGTTTGGTGTGAATCCTGATATAAATCTTCCAGGCATGGTCCCCTGTGTAACGGACTGGAATAGATTTGGTTGTTACACATAATGGATCTTGTGAGAGTTCAGAAGTTCCAGCCTCTCCTGTTGTACAGACAAGCAAAGTGTAACGAAGAAAAACTAATTAAGATGAAGCAGTATGAAGTATAGGAGGGCTGTTGTGGCTAAAGTGGTTAAGATGCTGAACTGCAGACCAGAGACCCGAGTGCCACATGATGGCAGTTTCATCAGTTTGAGACCCGAGTGCCACATGATGGAGTGAGCTCCCATCTCTGGTCCCAGCTCATGCCAACCTAGCAGTTTGAAAGCAAGAAATTGCAAGTAGATAAATAGGTACCACTTCGGTGGGAAGGTAACAGTGTTCCGTGCCCCTCGGCATCTAGTCACGCTGGCCACATGATCACGGAAATGTCTTCGGACAGCACTGGCTCTTCGGCTTGGAAACGGAGATGAGCACCGCATCCCTAGAGTTGGATTCGACTGGCTTTTGAGCAAGGGAAACCTTTACCTTTACCTAGTATGAAGTATGAGGAAAAAATTAACATAAGTAAAACAGTACAATGCAAGATCTTAAGAAGAGCCAATTCAACAATTCTCAGTTCAAAAATCCAGCATGGACCTCTTTGATTTCATAAGGGGAATCTTCTCAAATATGAAGGAATTAGCCCAAATGAAGCTGAAAGGGTGGGTAAGCAAGATCAGATCCCTTCAGGAATCTTGGATTTTATTTAAATCCACAATAATGGTAGCTCAGAGAAAATGTACACTTTGGGAAAACTCCTGAGCAGGTCTACTCAGAAATAAGTCCCACTTTATTCAGTGGAGCTTACTCCCAGGAAAACATTCTTAGGATTGCAGCCTTAAGAACATAAGAGAAGCCAATGTTGGATCAGGCCAATGGCCTATCTAGTCCAACACTCTGTATCACACAGTGGCCAAAAATACCGGGTGCCATCAGGAGGTCCAGCAGTGGGGCCAGGACACTAGAAGCCCTCCCACTGTTGCCCCCCCCCCCAAGCATCAAGAAGACAGAGCATCACTTGCCCCAGACCGAGAGTTCCTATCTATACCTTGTGGCTAATAGCCACTGATGGACCTCTGCTCCATATGCTTATCCAATTCCCTCTTGAAGTTGTCCATGCTTGTAGCCACCACCACCTCCTGTGGCAGTGAATTCCATGTGTTAATCCCTCTTTGGGTGAAGAAGTACTTCCTTTTATCTGTTCTAACTCAACTGCTCAGCAATTTCATGGAGTGCCCACAAGTTCTTGTATTGTGAGAAAGGGAGAAAAGTACCTCTTTCTCTACCTGCTCTTTCCCATGCATAATCTTACAAACTTCAATCATGTCACCCCTCAGCCGTTGTTTCTCCAGCCTTTGAGCCCTTCCTTGGAGAAAGGTAGGCTAGAGCCAGTGTGGTGTAGTTATGAAGAGTGTCAAGACGAGTACCTGGGAGACCCAGGTTTGAATACCCACTTGTGACATGGACGCTTGCTGGGTGACCTAACCTACCCCATTGCCTAATCTACCCTACAGGGGGGTTGTAAGGATAAAATGGAAGAGAGGAGAATGATGTAAGCCACTTTGGGTTCCCACTGGGGAGAAAGACGGGGTATAAATTAATTAAACAGATAAAATATATTAAATAAATGAAGCAGATTGGGAAGGTGAGAGGATGCCAGCATTACAGGAGCAAAGGCAAAGATGCTTCATTATGAAGCAGATTAGGAAGGGTTTCACCCAGTGTGAGAGGATGCCAGCATTACAGGAGCAAAGGCAAAGATGCTTCATTTTAAAAGTGGAAGTCTTTCTTAAACAAGGTGAACAAGATACAGTATAGGTTCTGGCAAAGGAAATTTAAACTGACAATAAGGCAGACCAAAAAGACAATATGAGGAGCTAGAAACATTAATATATGATCAATAAGTATTCATTTAAATACATCAGAAACAGGAAACCAGTCAGGGAGGCTACAAGCACAGTGTGAAGGTAATGGCCATCAAATATACAACCACTAACGTTCATTATTACAAGGAAAAGACGTACTATTATTGTGGGCACTCCATGAAACTGCAGAGCGGTCGGGTTAGAACGGATAAAAGGAAGTACTTCTTCACCCAAAGAGTGATTAACACATGGAATTCGCTGCCACAGGAAGTGGTGGCGGCTACAAGCATGGACGGCTTCAAAAGGGAATTAGATAAGCATATGGAGCAGAGGTCCATCAGTGGCTATTAGCCACAAGGTATAGATAGGGACTCTGGGGCAAGTGATGCTCTGTCATCTTGGTGCTTGGGGGGGGTCAACAGTGGGAGGGCTTCTAATGTCCTGGCCCCACTGCTGGACCTCCTGATGGCACTGGTATTTCTGGCCACTGTGTGATACAGCGTGTTGGACTGGATGGGCCTTTGGCCTGATCCAACATTGGCGTCTCTTATGTTCTTATGTTCTTACTGTTGTCGTTACTATTTCACCAGCAAGCTACATGGCATGTTGGAGGGTATTTATTTACTTATTTATTTATTATGTCAATTTATATCCCCCCGTTCCTGTGAACGGACTCAGGGTGGCTCACAACAATAAATAATACAATCTAAAATAATACAATAAAACCAATTTAAAACATGTAAAATGGGCAGTGCAACACATTTAATTCGAGTTTCTACAGCCGGGAAATAAGTGGGCCAACGCCAAGCCATGCTGGTCTGATGTAGCAGCAGTAGAGAGGCCAGCTGGTAGATGCCCACTGCCTCAGCCAAAGGCCCGCCGGAACAGCTCCCTGGAATTCAAGATGAAGGTTGCTCGGTCTACCCAGTGCACAGTCTTTTCTTTTATCACCTCTTCAGTAACAAAAACAGCCCCCCAAATCCTCAAGCTCCCCATTCTCTTTTTTATCTCCACCAATTCAAATTTAGCCCACTGATTAATTAACAGTGCAGTCCTAAGCAGAGTTATCCAGGGCTCTTTTTGTAGAAAAAGCCCAGCAGGAACTCATTAGCATAATAGGCCACACCCAACAGCAGGAACTCATTAGGATTGGCTACATTAGGGGTGTGTGGCCTAAAATGCAACGGGGTTCCTGCTACAAAAAAAGCCCTGGGTTTTGACAACAAACAAGGTAAACAGAATAAGAAGCAAAAGGTGGGTGTGGCTGGATGACCACACTTCTGGTAACATGGGGGTGACATATTAGGCCACACCCCTGACAGCACAGCCCATTAGCACATTAGGCCGCACCCCCATGTTACCAGAAGTGTGGTCATCCAGCCACACCCACCTTTTGCTTCTTATTCTGTTTACCTTGTTTGTTGTCAAAACCCAGGGCTTTTTTTGTAGCAGGAACTCCTTTGCATGTTAGGCCACACACCCCTAATGAGTTTCTGCTGTTGGGTGTGGCCTATTATGCTAATAAGTTCCTGCTGGGCGTGGCCAACTCGGGAGCCAGCCGGAACTCCATTCCTGCGCGATCCTGCCCAAAAATAGCCCTGGTTATACCCTTCTAGGTCCTTTGACTTCAGCCATGTAACTCTGTTTTGGATTGCACTGTTAAGCTCCAATTCATCAAGAAGGTTCGTGTGCATCCGGAGAGGGAATTACCACCTTACCACCATTACTTCTACTAGTATCACCAACTGGCCCTGGGAGGAGTGAACAACAGCGCCGCGTGGATCGGATACCACTGACTTGGGAGTACAATCTTCAAGATGCCATCTTTTTACTGAAGACTGATCTGACACATCTAGAGCACTTTATAATGTTGTAATATTGTACTGATTGTTTTACGCTGTTTTAACCTGTTTTTATGTATTGGCATATGCCCTATTTGTGAGCCGCCCTGAGCCCACTTGCGGGGAGGGCAGGCAAATAAATAAATAAATAAGCAGATATATATACAATATATACAACACATGATATATATATTTTTGTAGTAAGTGGCCAGAGTCCAAGAACAACATTTCATGGCTTTGTTTATTTATTTATTTGTTCAAATGTATACCCCGCCCTCCTAGCCTAGACCGGCTCAGGGCGGCTTACATAAAATCAGCAAAAACATTTAACAATATAATAAGACATTTAAAACAATATTAAAACAATTACAATTCCCTAATAAGTGCTGGATTCCAGTAATAAAGTTAATGATGGCTACCATCAACTATCTCTCTTCCCATGGCTGGCTTGCAGATCTTCTATAGATGTCTTCAGGTGTCTTTCCCAGCTGCTAGTACAGGCTGTTCATGTACATTCCGGGGCAGCGGGCTTCTTGTCCTAGTTGTTAATAGTGGCGGCGGCTCCAAAAGCCTGGCAAAAGAGCTCCATTTTACAGGCCCTGCAGAACTGTGATAGATCCTGCAGGGCCCTGATCTCCTCTGGGAGCTCATTCCACCAGGATGAAGCCACCACCAAGAAAGCCCGCACCCTGGTTGTCCCCAGCCTGGCCTTCTTAAGACTCAGGAGGGCCAGTCGGTTCTGGGCCCTTGAATGCAGTGCTCTCTGGGGAACATGTGGGGAAAGGCGGTCCCTCAGGTATGTAGGTCCCTGGCCTATTGAAGAATCCAGATGCTAGTTGTTGCCTTCATAACCAGAATACTTGATTAAATAGACTATTGGCCTTAATCTGCTACATCAAGCTATGTTTTTGGTGTTATGCTTGTGGTCGTAAAGGAATGTTGTTTAAATAGACTATTGGCCTTATCTGGTACGTCCAGTTATGTTTTTGGTGTTACACTTGTGGATGTAAAGAAATTTCCTGCAGTTTTTCTTCTTTCCCTTCGTAGAACGATTACAAAAAATTGTCTATGCAGTGCAAGGACTTTGTAGTCGGACTTCTAGACCTGTGCAGAAACACAGAAGAAGTTGAAGCAATCCTGAACGGAGATGTTGAGCTGAACCACGGGGAGCGTGGGCGGCCCAGCCTCAGCCGCTTAAAACTCGCCATTAAATATGAAGTCAAAAAAGTAAGCTTCCAGATTTTCATTAAGCTTTGGTTTTGGGGATGCTTCCGTTCATTCCTTCCCATTCAACTTCCTGTATAATACTGCTGGTAAGGCAGTACCCATTTGTGACAGAGGATGGATGCTCTCCTACCTAGTGTGGCAGAAAGTTCCTTCAGCCTAAGGGAGGCGTCCTTCCTCCAGCCTAAGGACCGTTCTTCAATTTAAGTGGCTCTTTTAGAACATAAGAGAAGCCAATGTTGGATCAGGCCAATGGCCCATCCAGTCCAAAATACCAGGTGCCATCAGGAGGTCCAGCAGTGTGACCCGGACACTAGAAGCCCTCCCACTGCCCCCCCCCCAAGCACCAGGAATACAGAGCATCACCTGCCACAGCCTGAGAGTTCCTGTCTATACCTTGTAGCTAATACCTTGTTGGAGGAGGACTTCGAATGTTGCTTACTGGCTTGATAGAAGAAGTCTAGCACATTAGAAATTGAGTGCTACAGGCCTTGTACCCAAGAGTTAGCAAGCCAAGAGAAATCTACAAGGCTTTTCTAAACAATCCATAAATTCACTGGGCACTAATGAAGCCTGCAATACATACACATGGAGGCACCAATATAGAACAGTCTGCATGACTTCCCATATTCTATGCAGAGAGAGAAAAAAAATGAACCTTCAGACTTGAATTACTCCTCCTGTGGATTTTTCTTTCCTTCCAGCATAGCTTTATAGTGTTAAATCAATAGCTCAGAAACCTATTACTGTGGCCATGCAGTAAGCAAAGGGTAAAGGGGGGAAAGAGAGCTGAACCGGGCAGTGAAACTGGGGAATGCCTCTAGCAGCAAAGTACACAGTGTAGGAATTATCTTCACTACATGGTTTGCAATGTGATACAGTAAATAATGGAAGCAGTGAAACTTCTAAACCAGGACAAAGCACAGGCAATAAAGCAATGATTTAACTCTTTGGAGGATTATAAAAATGGCACTGTAGATACTTTATATCCAGCTTACCCTTCCTAGTCAAAGGGGATTTGCCTCCCTATTTTCCTGTGCAGAGTATAAATTCAGATGTTTAGTTATACATATGCAATTTTGCAAGAAAATAGTACAGAATATCGCTGTTGAGACATGAAGTGGAGTCTTTGCCCACCTGAGATGTGAGCTAACTTACTCCAAAGGATAAATACTTGGACTAGGAGATTGTAGACAAAGGTTCAGATCCTGCCTCTTCAATTTATTTAATGCATGGCAACTCACTAATGGTGCAGTCCTATACAGAGTCACTCCAATCTAAGCCCAAGAGGTTTAGACTGGAATAACTCTGTTTAGGATTGCTTTGTTCTCAGTCCGTTCACCAGTAAAATGCAACTGCCCTCCTGGGTTTACGATAGGATTCCTCTCCTAATAGTTGCAAAGTGTTCTGCAAATTAAAAGTGCAGCCAAACCAATAAAGAGTAGTGATTATTGGGTCCACAATGCTGTGCACGTACAAGCCATTCTAAGCTGCCTTCAGATGTGCAGGGAAAGTCAACAGAGAGACAACGGTCTATAATGTCTGGTCCACGGGGAGGGGAAGGGGGCTGCTGTACAGATACTACTTAAATATGTCTATTATGATACTGTAAAGTGCAGCCTCCCATTTTCCAAAGGCAGTAAATGTCTCCTGCAAGGTGCTGCGATCTAGTACAAGGGGGGTGGATAACACCATTGCGGCTGGACTGCAAGCTTCCCACGGGTATCTTTCAAATCAGGTCTAAGTATGAACTACGGAGGAAAATATACCACTGCAGTGACCCAGCCTGCCATTCTTGCTTGTAGTAGGACTCTCCTGGGTAAACCTGCTGGGAAGAAAAACCTCTAAAGCATGAAATTGCTGAAAACTGGATCTACTGCGTGTTCTGGACAAGCAGCCCCATTTTTCTTGCAATAAATAGTCATGTACTTACAGTGGCCACAGTGGCAAGATTGGAGAATGTGCATTCATGCTGCTGTACTTCATGATAATGGCATGAACCCGATTTCTTTCTGTTCTGGTATGTTCTGTTTACTTTAAGTAGGCAAATCCTTTAACGAGTGACAGACGAGTCATCATTTTCCTTTTCTTTGTCCTTTAGTTTGTAGCACATCCCAACTGCCAGCAGCAGCTCCTCTCTATCTGGTATGAGAATCTGTCAGGTTTACGTCAACAGACCATGGCGGTGAAGTTTTTGGTGGTGCTTGCCGTTGCGGTTGGGTTGCCATTCCTGTCGGCGGCTTACTGGATTGCTCCGTGCAGCAAGGTACTAGGTGCAAACTCTCTACAGATTTTTTTTTTAAAAAAATAACTTCTCCACTCTGTCTACATGCATATTTGAAACTGGGCTAAAAAGGAAAGCATGTCCGTAAACAATGGAGACGCTCAGCAATGCATCAGTGCAGTGTTATTTACTGTAATGGAGTGACTGCAGGATTATGTTCCCTGACATTCTCACTAACAAAGTAGTGAATGCATTAGGTTACGCTATTTCATTTGTTTCATGTTTGTGCTGGTGGCAGGGAGCAGTGACTGAAAGACAGTGTCTCAGCTGCCATGATTTCTGTGCCTGATGTGCTTCAGTTACATGCACAGCAGTTCTTTGTTCAAACTAAAGCATTTATATTTAATGGCACTGGAAATTAGACAAACACTGTGACTCTTACGCTTGTTTTGCCATCACTCATCTGCTGACATAATAGGATAGACAACAGCATTATAAAACATGCTGTTGCATAGGGGGTTGCGTTGTGTTATACCAGCATTGCAGCTGGTATAACCAGTACAATGGGTGGAGGGGCTTGTCTTTCAAAAGAAGTTCCATTTTGTCTGTTCATTAAGAGGATATTGTGACACAGTAAAGATTATTTTTTATTGTAGTCTTGAGTTTTTATGCCCTGACCTGGACGGCCCAGGCTAACCCAATCTTGTCAAATCTCAGAAGCTAAGCAGGGTCAGCCCTGGTCAGTCTTTGGATGGGAGACCACCAGGGAAGTCACTGTGCAGAGGCAGGCAAAGGAAAGCCACGTTTGTCTCTTGCCTTGAAAACCCTGCAGGGTCACTGTAAGTCTGCTGCGACTTGATGGCACTTTCCACCACTACCATGAGTTTTTGCCGACGGGAGCAGGGGTCCAGATTAATCTGCATTTGAGGTAGTTGGCTCTTCTCCCATTAGGCTACTGCCTACTTTGCGCTTTCCCTGCTCCATGCAGGAGTATTAACTAGGGGTGTGCATTCGGGTCTTCCCGAGCCAAAAATATACCTGGAAAATAGTTTATTGTTATTTTTCAGGTATATTTCAGCTTCTCAAATGTATCTGGATTTTCTTGGGAAAACTGAAAAAAAAAATCCCAAGAAAATCCCAGATCCTGGTATTGGGATCTGGGATTTTTTTGGAAATACCAATATTTTTTCTGGTCCAATAGACCCGAACTGAAAAAGACTGGGTAAAAAAGAATTGCACACCCCTAGTATTACCTACCACTGTCCCCAGCGTGAGCCCACCCATATGAACTGAACTTTCAGCACGAATGGGTAATTGCCCAAACTGTTCTTTTCCTGCCTCTTTTGAGGCAACATGCGTGGTCGAAGAGAAGAGTTCATGTTGCCCCTCTACTGTGCCCAAGCAAACCACGTAAAACTGGGAGTTTTGAATATTTGACTTGAGAAATTTCTTGTTCAGCTTTTCTCTCCCTTTGAATATTTGACTTGAGAAATTTCTTGTTCAGCTTTTCTCTCCCTTCTCTTTCTCCTTCTTTGCCTTCTTCTTCCCCCCCTCTACCAGGCATCCTACTGCTCTCCATAAACGCTTATGGTAGAAGAAAAATGTGGTTAGTGTGTAAGGTGGAACAAGGTCCCTGCTTGCTTCCTGTCTTCTCTGAATTTTTACTTTTTTCCTCCCCTTGGCATCTGTCTTCCAGTTCCATCCCCACACTTGGACACAGGCTGATACATGAAAGAGCAGCATCAAGTTGTTTTGTTTATAATTTTTCAGAAGTAGGCTTTAGTCACTGCTATCTGTGACCGGTCCCCTTGGAAGCTTTAAAAAGAAACTTGGCATTATAAACAGCAAGATTTATTGTGAACTGTGGTCATTATGTGGCGGAGTGAGCTGAGTGATTGTTTTTCAAGGGAAAAGGCAGAACTGTATTTGTTTCCTTTCTTAACCAGAGGAGGGACAGGGGCAGGGGGGGGAATTGTGAAGGGTTTTTATCCTCAACTAGTTTGCCCAACATTTTGGGCTTAATAACCTTGCCAGGGTCCTCTTAGTGCCATGTTGTAAAGGTAAAGGTTCCCTTGCTCGAAAGCCAGTCGAGTCCAACTCTAGGGTTGTGGTGCTCATCTCTGTTTCAAAGCTGAAGAGCCAGCGCTGTCCGAAGATGTTTCTGTGGTCATGTGGCCGGCATGACTAAACACCAAGGCACACGGAACACTGTTTCCTTCCCACTGAAGTGGTACCTGTTTATTTACTTGCAATTTCTTGCTTTCGAACTGCTCGGTTGGCAGGAGCTAGAACTAGAGACGGGAGCTCACTCCGTCATGCGGCAACTCGGGTCTTGAACTGCTGAACTACTGACCTTTCACAGCCTGCAGTTCAGCGTCTTAACCACTTGAGCCACCACAGCTCATGCCATGTTGACTGTGGCATTAATTATGTTTTGAATGCAGTAGACAAGAGTCCAGTAGCACCTAAAAGATTAACAAAATTTGTTGTAGGGTATGAGCTGTTGCGAGTCACTGCTCACTTCTTCAGATACCTTCAGATATCTGAAGAAGTAAGCTGTGACTCACAAAAGCTCATACCCTACAACAAATTTTGTTAGTCTTTAAGGGGCTACTGGACTGTTTTCTACTGCTACAGAATAAGATGGCCACCCGTCTTCATCTATGTTTGCTGCATATTCCTTTAACTGTTTGCTTCTTGCTAGTCCAAACCTCCTTTTAAAAAAAAAAAGTTGGTCAGGCTCAGTTAGGAAATTGTAATTTTAGAAAGGACGACTTCTTACACAGAAATGTTAATCAGTTCGATCAAGAAGCCCCTCTTGTTTGCCTGGAATTGCTCACGTACATCAGCACTTGCTGCGCTCTAGGCAAGCAGTCTAGATTTTATTGTTGTTAAATGTTAAGTACCATGAAGAGGGAGGCCACACAGGAGGTACATAACCAACGGGGAACTTTATCTTAACCACAGTGATGCATTGGGTGGGGAGGGGGGACATTGAAGTGAACTGGCTGCCAGTGAGAACCAAAATGAACTGGAACCTAAAGGGAAATAGCTCTTGCTAAGAGGATGGCCCGGGATTAGCCCGATCTCATCTGATCTTGGAAGCTAAGCAGGGTCAGCCCTGGTTAGTATTTGGATGGGAGGTGAGTGACCAAGGAGGTCCAGGGTCACTGTGCAAAGGCAGGCAATGGCAAGCCACCTCTGAACATCCCTTGCCTCATAAGTGGACTACAACTAGGGCAGCACTTTACACACACACAAGAGGGTGTTCTAAGGACTTCTAAGGAACGGTGCCATTGTTCTAAAAGGATGCTCCAGTACTTCTGAGGGCAAGGGGGGAGGGGAAGATAGGAGAGGATGCTAAGAGACAAGAGAATCACTTGGGTTCACTGTTAGTCCACGCACCCTTGATGGCTCTCTTTATGAGCACTTGGCAAATGTTGGGCTGTTGTGGGGATCCGTGTTTTCTGCCCTTTCCTGTCACGCCTGTTTTCCCAAACATGCCTCATATTTTGAGCACCCCCCCTCCCCATACAGCTTGCCTGGGGCTTGTTAAATTCAAATTGCCGCCCCCCTCCCCTTTATACACTGACCAGTGCCTGCATTCTGCTGTCTGCTTTGAGCGGTGTTAGCCACAAAAGTATTGTCTCTTTATGAGCACTTGGCAAATGTTGGGCTGTTGTGGGGATCTGTGTTTTCTGCTCTTTCCTGTCACGGCTGTTTTCCTAAACATGCCTCACATTTTGAGCACCCCCCCCCATACAGCCTCCCTGGGGCTTGTTAAATTCAAATAGTGGCCCCCCTTCCCTTTATACACTGACCAGTGCCTACATTCTGCTGTCTGCTTTGAGCGGTGTTAGCCACAAAGTATTGGGAATTTTAAAATCTGTTAAATGTTAAGTTGTCTAATATAGACTTTAATTGAATGAGACTGGGGGGGTTTTGGTGATGGTTTTTTTTTACTTTTGCTTTTTAACCAATGTGTTGATCACGTCAAAGTCTTGGAACAGCTAGCTCAATCCTGTTTACTCTGACTGGCTGTAGGTGTCCCTCCTACAGTTTGGTGTAATGGTTAAAGAACGGCAGGCTCTAATCTGGAGAACCGGGTTCGATTCCCTACTTCTCCACATGAAGCCAGCTGGGTGACCTTGGGCCAGTCGCAGTTCTCTCAGGGCTCTCTCAGCCCCTAAAAACAAGTCCAGCTCACCACGAGCATAACACTAAGAGGTAGAACTTGCAGCTGCCAGAAGATCTTAGGATCGCCTGGCTATTCTGCACGCAATGCCATATGATAATTAATTAACTAATTCCCTCCCCAGGTCTTTCTTAATAACTCTTATCCTAGGTCCTTTAACTGAAGATGCCAGAGAGTGAACCTGGGACCCTTGGCATGCAAAACAGATTACTACCTTTGATGGAAGAGAGACACACCCAGACACATTGGATATTTGTTACCAGAACAATCAGGAGAGTGTGTGCAGTTACCATGAGAGATTATCCATGGCCTACTACGTAGACTTTTAACAGTTGCACATCACATGAGAAAGCAACACCTGGCTCTAAAGAAAATATTTTTTTCATATATTTTTTTCTGGATGTGTGTTGTTTTACAATAGTAATATTGACCACTGAGGAAGGCCAAAATGCATATGGTCTACTGGCCATAAGATACACCCATCAGTTGTATATGTAAAACTATCAGCTCTCTGTGTAAAAAGCTTTAAGATTCTGATATTTGCATCATTTCTTTTAACATATTTTGTCTTTTACTAATGTGTACACCATAATAAGGTGCTGCGGTGGCTCAAATAGTTAAGACGCTGAACTGCAGGCTGTGTAGGTCAGCAGTTCAGCAGTTCGAGACCCGAGTGTGCCACATGACGGAGTGAGCTCCCGTCTCTGGCCCCAGCTCCTGCCAACCTAGCAGTTCGAAAGCAAGAAATTGCAAGTAGATAAATAGGTACCACTTCGGTGGGAAAGTAACAGCGTTCCATGCGCCTCGGTGTTTAGTCATGCCGGCCACATGACCACGGAGACGTCTT